AAAGATTGCCTTCTTTGTGGCGGTTCGGTTAAAGTAGAGAAAGGAAAAAAAAAAAAATACGAGGCTTTGATGTGTATGTAGAAGGGGAGAGATCGTTAAAAATGAAAATATAAAATATAATCATTCATTATAAGGAATATCCTTTTAGTTTATTGATTTTGGGGAGAAGGGGAGAAAGGAATGTTTTATTCGGTTATTTTGAAATTTTAAGATTTAGATGTAGCATAAAAATGTTAATGTATTTGAAGGATATTTTGAGAGGAAACAAGGAAACATATCGAAATATATTAATTCCAAAAGAATATATAAATAATGTTTATTAAAAATAAATATGATTTACGTATATATATATGTATATATGTACGAATATTGTTCTTGGCTCTGGGTGTAAATACGTATAGTGGATTGTATACACAAACACGCAATATCAATGATGATTCATTTATCGAAACCGAAATCTTACAAACAAAATATAACTTTATAAACAAATATTGCTACAGCATATATAATTATCCATTTCACGATTTGTAATTTATGCTGTAGAACGATAAAATTTACAACTTTGGCTCTCCATGATATAACGGAAATAATTTTGCAATCATAAAGAAATAATGCTATTGCGTGTTTTATATAAAATATATATATACAAATATAAAAAAGATTAGAAAAAACTTTTAATTATCCTTTCTTTCCGTTTTATTATTACAAAAAAATATGTAACAATAAGTTAAATGAATTTGAATTAACTTTCTTTTTATATCTATTTATAAAACAATTTTAACAAAACGTTAATTATTCAAAATTATTTATTTTATAATTTTAAAAATAAAATAATAAGAAAGAAAAAAAAGATAAAAATGAAATGCACTTTTTTTAAATACAAAATTTTTCCTTTTTTTTGTAATGATTTCTTTGATCTTTTCCTTAGGGTGTTATAAATAGCTGATAAAACACGCAATATTATTTTTATCCTAGCTATTTACATGCAATATATTACTATACGAGTTGCTTCGATTGAATCAATAACCTTGAGAGAGGTCAATCAATTATAAAAACAAGAAATAAAAAACGTATTATTTCTCTCTTGCTATTTACTTGATATATTATAATGGTATACAAAAAAATTTATAATACTCTTAAGAAAAATGGTTTAACACATATCGATCAATATGATAAATGATACGTATTTTCTTTATCGAGTTTTAAATATTTCATTCCATAATCGTTTCCATAACAGTTTTTTAAACATGACGTGAGAAAATGCAGTGAAAGGATCGAAGATATAAATGAGAATCTATCTATGTTAAATTAGAATTGAAGTTATAAATTATTGAAACTTTTTTTGGTATTTTTTTATAAAAAAATATTTAAATCACGAACGTAAATCATATTCTTTAAAAATTATAATGTATAAAATATATTGAAACGTATATATAAATGTATTAAATTTAAATAATTCGAAAATCTTTTTATTGTTTAAATTTTCAATTAAGTAACTAATTCATAATTATTATTGATTTGTCAATTGAAAATTTAAATAGATAGATTTTTGAACTACATAAATTATTTTCAGAATATTTACAATACGTAGTAAAACTTGATTGAAACTAAAGATTTACGAAAAATGGTAAAATATAATTATAGTTTCGTGATATTATACATAGCATAGTAAGTGATGAAAATCTTAAATAGTGGAAATTTTATTTTCATAAGAGACATTTTAGATAAATATAATTTTATTTAAAAAAAGAATCTAAAAGGAAAAAACCACAAAATTGAAGTTATTTATACCATAAAATTTTTTCCAATAACACGATAACAATGACGAACATATATGAGTTTATATTTAAATTATAAGAGAATGGATATTGCAAGTTACACTGTGCACATCATACGTTGTATACTCCTACCTAAAGTCCGGACATTAACCTCATTGAACACTCGTGGGCGGAAATCGATAAAAGATAAAAAAATTATAAGCATAACTTCGAAAGACGTTATAATATACGTATGAAATAAAATTTTTTAGAAAATTGTATATCCAAAGCCAAATTGTAAAATTAATTAATTATTATAATAATAAAGGCATTCTTAATTTCGTTCTGAATTTTTGAATATGTTATAGAAATCAACATTTCAAACAACTTTTTCGACTTTGACTTTTGAATTATTTATTTATTTTGAGGTTAATTTAATATTAATATAATCCTTGAAGCACATCTTTATTATGATGAATATTTCATAATTTTTATAAATAATAATTACAATATTATCTTCGATATTTACATTTTTTTACATATATATATTTTTATTGTTTATTATTTCGTGTATATTATTATGCAGAAACTTGAAAACTAATAAGGAAATTTTAAATAAAAGCATCAAAAGTTACACATTAACCTCGAATTATATTACAATCAATTTTATTAATTATAATTTTAAATAAAATTATTTGAATTTCTAATAAAAGCATCAAAAGTCACGCA